CACCACCACCCCCAGCCCAACACAATTGCTCTCTCAGATCTAGGCTGAATTACATGTTTAATTTGACTTGGAACTTACTGGTTTGGTTTGGACAATTTTTAATCAAAGCAAGGGGCTGGATTCATGCAGTGACTTGTACAGCAGTGAGTGAGCAGCGGGTGCTGTCTCCTTTATGCCGCACAGCGCTGCAATTAGGAAACTCGCATGGCATGTGAGGCGTACAGATTCAATTCGTCTTTGTCTGATTTGGATTAAGTATTTTGGAGCTCAAGTATTTCACCTCTGATGTGCGTGCTGGAATTGGAGGAGTATAAATGCGAGGTTTTGCCTCGGCAGGCTGTGTGGTGTGTTAGGCTGCCCACTTGAAAGGCTGATGTGGTAGCTCTGCCCCCAGCACATGATCGATATGAGATCCCTTTCCTGCTCCTCTGTAAACTAATGCACAAGCCTTGCTCCAGAAGAAAGGAGGGACAGATGGAGAAAGCAGAGAGCAGGACAATGGCTGCACTAAGCGTTCTGGTTGGACACCCCACCCTGATGTGGTACTCTGTGATGGGTCTGCTACTGGCAGAGTTTGAACAATCAAAATGGTCTGTTACCGAAATATCAAAAGAACCACTGACACGTCCCACGTGTGTCCCCTCATCGCTTCTTCCCTGACTAAAATTAAGAACAGAATTCAGCATCATTTATTAAAGATCCTTGATTCCAGTCAAAAAGAAAAGGCAGTTTATTCAAAACTGTAACCATTATGGGACTTGGAAATACAGGTGGTTTTGATGGGTTCACCAGAGAATCCCCAACTTTCCCTGCTGCCCTGAGACAATTCAGAATATATTTGCTCGCTGTGAATTCAAAATGTATTTGCTCACACTTGCTATGTGAAGTTAATTTGTGCTTTTTTCCTCTACACAGGCCTCATTACATCACCATATCTCTGTAGCGCAGACAGATGAGCTTCTACCTGCCAGAAATTCTCAGCGAGTCCCTCACCCCCTTGACTCTAAAACTACATCAGATGTCTTGAGGTAATTGCATTTCCTCCCTAAGGCTACGGGGACTGAGCTCACCAAACCAAACTGATTTTGGTACCAATATCTTAGGAATTGGGGTGTAAAGGAGACAGTATTCCTGAATTAATGCAGCATACAGGGTGGAAGACACCAGTGAAATCTGCACTTCACCAAGTAGGGAGTATCAGCAGGAGACATGAAGAATAATCTAATCTAAGAAAATTTGTGGTGGTTGTATTATTCTAGATCTGAATTTGTATCCTCTTAGAGGACTAAGCTATCACAGCTATCACTCTTTGCTTTTAGTAAAAGGATAATGCAGCACACAGGGAAATAATGAGATAGAAATGACACGAGTTACAACATGAGAAATTCTACTCAGATGCAGGGTCACACAAAGTGGGGTCAAATACTGGCACAGTTGCCCAGAGGGACTGTGGCACCTGCATCCTGACAGATGCTCAAGGCTTTGAATACAGTGGTGGACTAAACCTCCAGAGGTTCCTTCCAACCAAAATGAATCTGTGATTCCATAATCTCTACTATGAATTGGGGAGGACCTGCATTCAGATAGCTCGGTTCAAATTCACATATTAAAACTAAAAATTCATGCTTCCCCCCAGCTTTTCAGTGAGTTCCTACACCACCACCACCAGTGTTCATACAGCCAGGCAGTCCTCGTGACATTGTGTCTCCAAGACAAACCAGAGATAAGTTTTTAGGTAAATCACCTAGAAAAGACAGGAAGAAAAGGAGTAAACGATTCCAGTTTCATTTCTCTCCGTGTTTCTCTTCTGCAGGTTCGTTTTGGAGCAGTACAATGCACTGTCCTGGCTTACGTGTAACCCTGCCACTCAGGATCGCAGCTCCTGCCTTCCTGTCCACTTTGTGGTGCTCACTCAGTTGTACAATGCCATCATGAACATACTGTAATAGATAGAAAAGCACTTGTTCTTCTGGCTTATGCTCCCCTCCACCTGAGAAACGTGCCACAGTCTGCAAAGATCACAATTCTGCTTCTCTTCAGACCAGTCCTGTGCTGTGCTTCTGTTCCTCCAAAAGCACATGTGAATCCTGCAGTGTTCAAAACTAAACTACCCATTAACATCTCTGGCAGCTTCAGTCCAAAATCTGGGAACATCCAAGAACAGTGAACAGAGTAACCTCAAGCCAGTGTTAGTTTGGTGGCCCAGTAACTACTGGTCAGTGTGATTATTTTTTTTAATATTTTATTTTTTTAAGGAAGACTACAGTATCTTTTTTGCATTAGGAACTCTGATGAACAACCGAGAACAGTTTCAGCCCTGCAAGTAAAAATACCTTGTAGTGACCAGTTTGGGTTGTCCAAAACTTTTATTGTATTGTTTGATCATCATAAACTGGGACTTTGCAGGAGGAAAAAAAAAACAAAACCAACAAATCACACAGTTGTAGTCTCGTATAAATATTGGAGTTTTCTGTCTACCTGGAGTTCCTGTCAGAGTGGATTGGGATGAATGCATGCATTTGTTACCTGTCCATGTAGATATGAATGGTCTGGAGATACTTTATTTATTTTTAGGTTTGGGGAGGGGAGGGATTTAAATTATAAAGGACCAGGAACAGTAGATTATCTTAAAAATCCAGCTCAGTTCCACTCTAGGGTTATTTATCTACATACCTCTCACTCTTCCAACCTAGAAATCAAAAGCGAAGCTAGTAACAATCACAGTCCAAGCTGGGAAGGGAAGTTCTCTGCTAAGGATTGACTGGTATTTTAAGGAATTCTCACCTGCATTTAGCCTGGTTACAGCAAGAAATGGCCGGTGTTTAATGAAGGATAACACTACCTAACGGAAAAAGAGTGAGTGAGTGAGTGAGAGGTAGGGAGGAAAAATACTTTAAAGCCCAATGTAAGGGCAAATGGAAAGTGGTAAATTAATCTATTGTAGAGCTATGATTGAAATATATTTCCAGTAAATTTAGTGATGCTAGAAAAAGTATTTACTGAAACCCAAGTCGCCCTGTAATTCTGGGCAGACTCGTCCATGTACATATCCAAAAATATGGTTTTTGTTTACACTAAATCAGTTGCAAATCTGGTGTATTTTTTCTGACTATAGGAATATTATTTCAAAGAAATAATTTTTAAAAATTATATCATTAAATTAGTACTTGAAGTTATACCACTGTGGTGGAAAAGTTACTTTGTTTAGTAAAATGATTGCCATTTTAAAGGTTAATGGCTAATTGAAGTATTTTTATGACTCCTTCATTCCAGGCTTCAAGGGGTTTATATTTAAACTCCATTTTCTAATGTTTGTTGTTGCACTGTGCAGCAGGCATGGACTGCCTTATGTGAGGGGTCGGGCACTTTGATCAGGCTGTGTGACCTAGTTATCTATCTGTGGAGAAAAAAAACTACCAATTTTAAAGTTCTTCCAAAAGACTTTCATGTTCTGGTTAAAAAAAATAAATAAAAAAATGAAATTCTATGATTTTAAAAAGTATTTTTCTTGAGATAATGTAACATTTAAAACAAATTATATAAAATAATAAAAAAAAAAAAAGAATTGCTTGTGTAATGAGAAGGTGAAGTCAGAGAAGTAACCTGTAAATGGATTATTTCATTCTCTGCACCAAACCTCCCATGTGGGTATCCTCTTTGCAATGTATAGGTTAAAAAAAAAAAAAAAAATCTGATATCAAACCATTTGTATCTAATGTGTACAGTGTAAAATTGACTTTAAAAATATTGCAGTACTATTTTTTCTTAATCCGAAAAGAAAATTCTCAAGGCCTTTTGAAGAGCATAAAAAGATGAAGATTGTAAACTTGTATAAAAAAAAATTTAACTTGGGGAGGAAAAAAATGTAAACTAGACATTTGTAATCTTTTACCATTTGGGGGTTATTTGTTCCCAGGATTCATCTGAACTTTGGATTATTATTTTGTTTGTTCTTTTTAAATGGGCCGTTTTTATCCAGGGGTGTTTCTTCCCCAGAAACCTGGTTCTAAGCAAAAATTAAAAATAAAAAAAGGGCAGCAAGGAGTAGTTTTCATCTGGTGTCTTTTATTTAATTTTTTTAAGTTAAGAGAAGCTGGTGACATATTTATACGTTTTTGTGCAAAATAAATGAATGGCAATAGATTTTAAAGAAAAATCTTATGTACTTCAGTGTGAAAAGTTCTGTATAATATTTCCCTTAAATATGCATTATTTTACTTGTGAGTTTTTTACTGAATTAATCTGAAATGTACAAGCCCTGGCTTTCCTACAGAGTGAAGAAAGTTATTTTATTTTTTTTTTTATTTCTAACTTTGGAAATTCATGCCTAAATCAGAATTATTATTACAGTTGTTTGAGCTAAAGGGAGAGGGAGGGGGCGGGGAATGTCCAGCATGCTTGTATGTATATTTCAGAACCTTTTTTAAATGTAAAAGCTGTACATTTCTGGGGAGTTCTGAATTTCTTTTTGGTTTTTTTTTTGTTTTGGTTTGGTTTTTTTTTTCCTTTCTCTGAGCATTTTGCAGTGAGCTTCTTTTATATATAGCCGACAATTTGAAAGAAAACAAAAAAAAATGTGAAGTTCATTTTAAATCTACAGTATATCGCTGGTACAATACACTAAAAAAAGACTTTGATAAAAAGAAACAATAATAATAAAGACCTCCATTTTAAATGTCATTCATATATACCTTGTGGATGAGAGCTATATACTTTTACACACTTTTTTAGATGAATAAATTATTGAATTACTGAAACTGTTGGTGGAGTTTTATTTGTATGAGTATTTGACTCTGAAATTTTAGTGTTCCTAGTGAAGGAAGACTTGTGTTACAAGGTATAGATTCCATGTGACAGGAGTGGCACTGAAATTAATGGAAAGGCTCTTTAGTATTTATTTATTTGAGAGACACACACTGCTGCCTCCCCTGCATTAACCCAGCGCCTGCCTGCCTGTTCGGTTTGCTGCCCGGTGTTCAAGCCATGGCTTTGTCAGGCTCCTTTCAGAGTCACTAGGCTCATGGAAATGCGTGAAGGTTCACACTGCAGCAGTACTTCCCTTTAAAATGGAAATCAAAGCCAAAAAAATAGTCATTCTATTGAAAATCACCTCTGTTCTGAGAGGAACTTTGGTGCCTCTAATGTAAATACTGAGATGAACAGAAGGGGTGGGTGGAAGGAGCCTGGGGTAACTGGTGACACAGGAGCAGGAGTTGCTTCACTTCAGCACCTCGGATCACAGGAGCTTCATCAGTTAGGGGTGAAATTTCTCTGTGCACAGCAGGTGAGTCTTTACCAGGAGATTGCAGTGGCCCATCGCTCTTGTGGAAGTCTGAAAGTCTGTTGGTTAGTTTTTTGGGTTTTGTAATCCCTTCCCCCTGCAGCAGGATGGATGCCTGGTGTGCAGTCAGCCCTGACTGGAGGAATACAAACCTGTATCTGCTGCTTCGGGTGGCTCAGAGCAGCTGTAGAATCTCCATCCTGAAGACTCAACTGGCCATGTCCTTGAGCAGCCTAATCAAATTGTACCTGCTTTGACCAGGGGGTTTGGTTGGACTGTTAGACTGCAGGAGGTCCCTTCAAACAGAGACACTCTGTGTTTAGCAGGTTCACTTCTAAACACAGACGTGCAAAAAAATGATGAATTAATGAGACCCCAAGGCCTTTCCCAGTGCTACACCTTAACAAGACCAGAGGTCATCTCCCATAAGAATAGTTCTGGAAGAACAGGTAACATAAGAGTTTTCTGTACTGAAAGAAGTGACAAATCTGTGACCTCCATATTTTAAATACCATATCTTTACTCTGAAACAACAAAAACCAACAGCAAACTACAACCTGCCCCTTCCTTTATTTCCAGTTGTAACTACACCGTCAGCTGTGGCCAGCCTGCACTGCGGGTAGGAGCCATCTATTTTCAGCAGCGGTGACTCAAAATGAGGTAAGAGAGTTTCTGCAGACCCAAAATGCTATTAGACCTGATCTTTGTCACTCTCTCTTGCAAAGTTCTTGCTAAAGAACTCATTTCCCATGAAGAGATGGAGCCCACACTCGCATCCAGTCACAGTTCCTGGGAGTGTGTCAGGGAATTGCCACCCAGTTTCATGGCTGTTTTAAATGGTCACTAGAGACATTCCTCAGTAGTTGTTATTTCTAGAGCACTTTAATTTTGGTGCATCCTATTTGTAAATTTAAAGGTAGATAGCTAGAAAAATAGTCAGTCCCTAACATTTTGCCTTTAAAAAAACAACCAAACAACAAACCAAAAAACTAACCAACAAACTTTCAAGCTTGTCTCTTTTAGTTCACTTTACTATTGGTAAATTCTTAATAAATGACACCATACAACTAACTTGTACCAGTTCTTACAGAATGGTTACACTCCAGCCTTCCACTGTGAGCGCTCTAAGTAGAGGGAATTACTGCAGAGCAATATTATTTAAATGGTGATTCCTTTGTGGCTAATTCATTGGCTTTAAAGACAAAAACCAGCAATTAAATATTCTGTTCCATGAGTACTGTAAGGAAGAATTGAATGGAAACACTAAAATCATAGCTGATTTGTAACAATAATGTAAGATTTATGACAAACGGGTACAGTACTGTGGTGATGATTTCTTTAATACCAATGAAGACAAAGTTTTTAGAGATTTGGCTGGTATTAAACTACGTTTCTTTTTCCAACTGCCATTTCTATTTTTGGCAAAACGTCATGGCCACCTAAAACCAGCTGAAGCACATGTAGAAAGCATCAGAAGTCATGAAAGTAAACATGAGGTTTATGGTCAGTGTCTCACCATTTATAGTGGAACTAGAAACAGCCCTGAGATCCCAAAACAGGAAGTCTTTGGTCTTCAACAACAAAGCAGTGTTTATAAAATGATGCTGCTTCCACTTCCCTATTTTGAAACTGAACCTTAACACTCTGAACAAATGTTGATGTGAGCAGGCTGTTTTATGCTTAACGGACGGTTCCTCTTCCAGGTGTCGCAGCCACTGTCCCATAGGGCTTTCCAGGGGATACAGGGACCTCGGTGCTATTTTAATGAAACCTGAAATACTCTTCCAAAACCTGAAACAAGATGACGCCAACTTCTGTGAGAGGCCAGCTCTGAGCACAGCTTGCCCTCAGCTGCCACTGACTGAGATCCACCTTTCTGATTACCCCTGCTCCAGGCAGCGTTCAGGCTCCAGTTCCCAGACCAGTAGACATCAGCTCTCGCTCTGGTTCTGGACTGGGACTTGTCAGCTAACAGGCAGGCTAACCATGCTATCAGTAGACATCATATAGCTTATATAAGCTACAACCATATCATACATGCTCATTTATTTGTACAGGCATTAGCTTTTTTGCCTATAAGAACTGCTTAGCAAAACCTTTCACAATTATGATACCATTAAAAAAAAAAAACAAGTGAAAAAACGCCCCTTCCGGGAAGCCAGCACGGACACTGTAATTGCTAGAACTTACTACAAACTCTACAAGAATATCTGTCATGGTCCTGCAACAAGAATCAAGGGCAACACCTGCCAGAATTCTCTGGCTACCTCTGCTTGCTCCATGGAGAGGCCCCATGAGGTGCACAGGCTGGTTTCATGAGTCTAACATGGATCTGAGGACACTGCACCAGCACCAAAAGCCACGTCTCATTTTTCAGTTCTTCACCAACCCTCTGCTTCCTCTCCACCTCTTCTAACTTTATGTCCCAGGAACACGGTTTCTGTCCTACCACACATGCACCTTTTTCCGTTTGACAGACATTTCATTTCAGAAATACCTGCTTCTGCAAGATATTTGTCACCTACACATCACATCATCTGACTTCCCGGGCAGTGACACTCACTCCAGCTGCTTCATTTTAAAAGACACAGACATGCGGGCAGGAAACTGCTTCAGCCCACGTGGCAACTCTAGCAGGCCTAGGTCCTTCACAAATGGAATTTATTTTCCTTACACAGTAAATTAGACATATGTTTAAAACAGTCCTACCAGGCTGACACTCTCTTTGTTTTTATTTAAATATTATGCCATTTTCAAAATGTCAAACTGTGGTATAAATCTAAGAACAAGCTGCATTCTGAAACACACTGCTGCTACCTCAGGGGTTTTTTTGAGAACTTCCTGCCAACAGATTCCAATATCCAGAATCCCAGTTTAAAAATGAATACATACACACACACACACACACACAAATACACCCCACTCTGCACAAAAAGCTCACAGGTTCCTGCAATTCAGTAAAACCTACAGCTGAGGTGGGGAAAAAAACAAGTTTGCAGTTGGGTGAAGAGTTTAAAAAGTATTTTTAAGCCAATAATTTTTTAGAGATCTGTGATTTCCCGCAATCAGTGAGAGTGGGGCCGTGTCACATCAATCACATCTATTCCATTTTCGGTGCTGGGGTTGTCTCTTCATTCAGAACTCGAAGCCATGTCCCTTGTTTTCCAGCAGGGGTCACGTTTTGATGGCAAATGGAACTACAGCTTCCTCATAGAACAGGCTTTAAAAAACCAAATTAAACTACACACAGCTCCAGAGCTGGATCATTAAAGGTCAACCACGCGAACAGGTGTGGGTTCATTGGTCAAAGTGCTCCACCCCGACTTGTAATCGGTTTGGGTGGTAATTTCATTAGTGCCTGGGGAAAAGCCAAGTACCAGAGGAGCAGGTGATGGGGTGAGGTGCGCATGGCAGGGAAAGAAAAAGAAAGAGGCTGTTAATCCCAGCAGGGTAATGGCCCATAGAAGTGCTAAAAGAAAGGTGCTGTGAGCAACTCTCCTCCTAGCTGCTGGGTTAAGCAACATTTTAGAGTTAAAAGTAATTGCTCTTTTATTTCTTTTCCCCATTTAAAAGTTGGGAGCATGTGGAGAAGGCGTTCTGCTGCAATGACACACGCTGGTGCACAACTGGATTGTCAAGCAATGGACAGGAGAGAGAGAAGAAACTTGAATGGGAATAGGCAGCGTTCAAGCCTGGTCTCAGGGTGACTTTAGACATTTAGAAATAACAGGGAGTCCAAGGGGAAAAGAACACGGGCTGCAGAGCAGGCCTGTTGTTGTTCTCTAGTGCAGCAGTGACAGAGGGAGATGGGACACCCCTCCTTTGCTGCCAGCAGTGGAACTGGAGATGTGATTTTCCCCACATCATTTGTCCGCCCTGCTCTCAGCAGTTTATGCTGCTGACTTGCTTTTCATGTTGGGCATTTTAGCTAGTGAAATGTTGCTTCTGTATAAAAGAATCCTTCCTCTAGCATACTCCAGTGAACATAGAACGCTCTTTCCACAAGGGCATCTTTGTATTGAGGTGGCAAAACCTTCCACCTTCCTGGCAGGGAAAGACAAGCAAGGGAGAAGGGTGAATTAAAAAAAGAAAGGTGAATTAAAATGTTTCAACAACTACCCTCAGAACACCTGTGTGTAGAAAGTTGCTCCATTTCACCAACTGTGGGAGCTAGGCTTCATTTTCCCAGAATACCTCTGCTTTTGTTAAGTCAGCTTAGATCACTGAGTCTTCTGTCCATAGAGGCCACACAAATGCTTTCTTGTAGTCTGCAGATTCTTGACCAGGGAGTAGGACTGAGGCTCACCTCTAGTATATTTGCAAGATTCTCATCTTTAGGGCCCTCCACCACAATTCCCTTCTTGTTACTTTCGACACTTGTTGATTTATGTCCTTTATAAATACCAGTGTAAGAACCAAGGCCCAGCTTAAGAGAACGCACTCGCTTTTGCTTAAAAAATAAGAAT